CTGACCTTGCAATCCACCCGCCTTGGCCTCCCAAAGTGCTGGGATTACAGGTGTGAGCCACTGTGCCCGGGCCGTCATTTTATTTTTCACCCTAGTCTGGGAGAAAATCCAGCCATGCCATCACTAGCTTTTGACAATTTAGACCAAAGATAGGGGCTCCCTTTGGACCTACATGGTAGCCACAGCATTTGGGAAACAAAAATCAATCAGGGGAATTCCCACAGCTCTGTGTTGGGACTTGGGGATTGGAGGAATGGCTGCAGAGTGTTGACTCTGGCCCTTAAGGATGCCACAGGCTAGGGATTCCAAGGCCAGTGCCCTGAGGCTCCCTGGCTGCCACGTCCTCACTCTGCTTGTGGCAAACTCCCTGTGCCTGGGAGCTGCCTCCTAGGACAGGTTCAGCGCAGGTCCCCTAACTTTCAGCTGGGTGTGAGCTCTGTGGGGCACAGGGTCCTTCCATCAGAGCTGGTGGGGAAGCCAGTGGTTTTCCTGGAGGATGTGCCTGACCCAGAACCTGTCCTTTACTCTGATGCTGCCCAGTGGAGACATAGCAGCATCAGGAAGGAACCAGTGAGCAGGAGGCTGGGATCCCAGCAGATAAACTTGGCATCCCAGCCGGGCCTGACATTTCCTTTTTTTTTTTTTTTTTTTTGAGATGGAGTTTTGCTCTTGTTGCCTAGGCTGGAGTGCAGTGGCATGATCTCAGCTCACCACAACCTCTGCCTCCTGGGTTCAAGTGATTCTTCTGCCTCAGCCTCCCGAGTAGCTGGGATGACAGGCATACACCACCACGCCCGGCTAATTTTGTACTTTTTGTAGAGACGGGGTTTCTCCATGTTGGTCATGCTGGTCTTGAACTCCTGACCTCAGGTTATCCACCTGCCTTGGCCTCCCAAATTGCTGAGATTACAGGCCTGAGCCACTGCGCCCGGCCAACATTTCCCTTTAACATCATCAAGCCCAATTCTGAGAAGTCTTGATGCTGGAGTCCCTGTCCAGCAATGAGCTTGCTGTCTCTGACCACAGAGAAAAAGTTTGTGTGCCTTTTCTATGCTGCTAAGGAGCCTGGAGAAACTGCCTCCATCCTCATGCTCCCAGGTGCACCTAGGCAAATCCAGCTGGGACACTCAGACCTGCTCTTCATTGGGCAGGCCCTGTCAGGCTTATAGAATGATCCAGGCGCCTAAGCTGAGTGTGGCTGGAGATACCGAGGCTAAGGGAGGGAGCAGCCTTGCCCACAGCCTCATGACCAATTACTGTGGCAGAGGCAAGTTCCCCCGCCAACCCTGGTCTCCTGCCTTCCAGTCTGCCAGGCGGGAATGGGGGGTGCTGGGGAGGAAACTAGCAACACAAAGAACAAAGACCAGGATTTAAAAAACTCCCTGTAATGTAATATAATGTAAATGTTTCTTAGAACTTCAAAAATTATCATGCCATACAACATTTGATCTCGGATCATATTTTTCCCTTGGGTCTTGTGCTTCAAGGTGGATGTCAATGTTTGGTAGACATCAATGTTTGGTAGACATCAACTCTTGGTAGAGTTGGGGCATATCACATGGGCCTCTGGGCTTCCCCCACCAAAATCAAACTGAGAAAGTGACAAAAATCCCTTTAGGTATCCTGCAACTCCCCAGATTTTCTCAGAGAAACAGACCACAGCCAAGAGGCAGAGAAAATGAGAAGAGCCAAAACGCTGACCCTGATCTTCTTAGGGCTGGTAATTTACTTAAGAGACTTAGGGGATGTTTCTGATAGTGACTGATTTTCAGTTGTGTCCACTGAGGAGTGGAGTGGCTTGCTGTGGACCAGGTGTTCTGCCTGGCCCACCTGGGTGAAATTCTAGGACCTGTTTCTTATCCAGGAGCACGACGCTCAAGCCATCTTCCAGGAGACAGCTCTTGTTTCCTGGGCTTTGTGACACAGGCAAGGGGAGGAGAGGGCTGGCCTGTGAGGACCACATAGGCTGGGGAGGAGCATCAGGAGGGATGCCGGAGCCCCCTGACAACTGCCAGGGCAGTTCCACATGCCTGGAGGTTCTGTCCTGGGTGGCCCTGATTCTGGTTGCCTGGACACCCTCTTTTCCTTATCCTCTTACATGTGTGGTGACAGCCATAGGACTCCAAAGCAGGTGCCTGGCTGCCCGATTCTTTGTCAGGTGAGTCTGATAAACACAAACAAGCCCCTGATCACCTGAACAGTGGAGCCCCTGGCAAACCTTCCATTAATGTCAGTGACAATGTCTCCCTATTGAGGTGAGACCCGAGTGAGGCTGGTGGCCAGGCCGGGCAGACAAAGTTGTGTGATTTATGGAAAAGGACTCCGGGTGGCCCGGACGGTCCAGGGCTCCGGGTGTGAATTCCATGCGGGTTGCTTGGGGTCAGCCACTGCTGATGGGGAGCCTGCTGCTTTGACCTCTGGGGACAGTGGTGAGGGGTCTCCCCGGATATGAGAAATCACTGCATTTTCAGTTCTAATCAGAGCTGCTCTTGGGCTCAGATTGATGTGCACTGAGCCAGAGTGTTCTCCAGAACTTAATATTGGATTCTCTTCTCTTCTTTTCTCTTTTACTCTGCTGTCTTGCCTGGTCTCATTCCTATCTTTTCTTTGAAAATACTTTTATATATAAACAGTTGTAAATATCTTAACTAGAGCTAAGATCTCCTGTTTGAGCTCTGAGATCCCAAATCCAGCTACTTCCCTGGGAACTCATTTCATACCTAAGGCATCCTCACGTCACGTGTCCAACACTGAAACTCTTCAGCTTACCCCAAATGTACTTGCCCTCAGTCTTCCCGACTTCCAAGGATGGCATCTGTTTCTACCCTATTGTTCAATCTGCAAACCTGGCTGTTGTTCTTTTTTTTTTTTTTAATTAATTGATTGAGGTGTATTTCACATAACATAAAATGAACCATTTAAAATGAACAATTCGGTGACATGTAATACATTTATAGAGTTGTACGACTATCACCTCCATATAGCTCCGAAACATTCCCACATACCAAAATAAAAACCCAGGCTCGTTAAGCAGCCACTCCCCTTTCCCCCCTCCAGCAAGCCCCTGGCAACTGCCAATCGGAGTTCTGTCTCTGTGGATTTACCTATTCCAGATATCTCATGTGAACGGAATGACAATATGTGACCTTTAAGTCTTGACTTCTTTCACTGAACATAATGTTATTGAAGCCATAACATGTATCCGTACTTCACTTTTAGGGCTGAACACACATAAAACACAGTTATGTTGGGTCCCCAACCCCTGGGCCATGGACCAGCCCCATGGCTTGTTGAGAACCAGGCTCCACAGCAGGAAGTGAGCAGTGGGTGAGCGAGCATTACCGCCTGAGCTCTGCCCCCTGTTAGATCAGCAGCAGCATTAGATTCTCACAGAAGTGCAAACCCTATTGTGAACCAAGCCTGCGAGGGATCTAGGTCTCATGTTTTTTATCAGAATCTAACTAATGCCTGATGATCGGGGTTGGAACAGATTCATCCCAAAACCATCCACCGTCACCTCCATTGTCCGTGGAAAAGCTGTCTTCCATGAAACAGGTCCCTGGTGCTGAAAAAGTTGGGGACCACAATACTGTTATATATATATGGAAGGGAAAGTTGTGTTTTATATATATTATAAATACATATTATTTATATTATGTATGTATATTATGTAACAATATATTATATATAATATGTATTATACATGTATTAACATATATTTTATTTATGTATAATATACACACACATACATTATACATATACATACATTATACATATATACATATATCTATATAATACACATTATACAGGTATAGAATATGTGAATATAAATATGAATATGAAAATAAATGTAATATAAATAATCAATATAAATAAAATAACATACATATAAATATAATGAATATAACTATAAATATAATAATATAAATATAAATATATAAAATATATGTATGTAACATATAATGCAGATATTTTATATATTATATATTATGTATGTTATATGTTACATATGTATTATAGATACATAACTATAATAACATTTTATTTATAATGTATATATATATACATGCATATGTATATAATATATAATATGTATATGTTATAAGATGTGATATGTATATAATATACATTTTATATGTATATATATTGCTTATAATACATATATGCTACATACATATTACATAATATATATGTATTATATATGCTCTCTATATAGTATATGCTATATATATGTATTATAGATAATATATAACAGTTTACTTATCCATTAATCTGTTATTGATAGAGCCGTACGTCCATCTCTTAGTTATTGTGAAACACTATGCATGTTTTTTGTTATTGTTACTTACTGTGAAAAGTGCTGTGGTATCAGGAGTGTATGTGTATTTGTGTGAGTACCTATTTTCAGTTCTTAGAGGCATATGCCTAGGAGTGAATTTACTGAGTCACAAGGTAATTCTATGTTTAACTTTTGCCACTGTGTCTGTGTCATTTGATGTGCCCAGTAAAGAAACAAGGGTTCCGGTTTCTCCACGTCCCACGGACACGTGTTGCTTTCTGTTTACATTTGTTGGTGATGATCATCCCATGGGCATCATTAGGATTTTGCTTTGCATTTCCCTCATGACCTTCACTGGGCAGTTTAATGCACTTGTTGGCCATTTGTACATCTTCTTGGAGAAATGTCTATATTTGCATCCTTTGCTTATTTTAAAATTGGGTTTTTTGTCTTTTTATTGTTGAGTTGTAGGAGTTTTTTCTATATTCTGAATATGAGACCTATATCAGATATGTGATTTTTGAATCATATCCCTGAAACAAGCCCCATCTTGATGTCTTTTTAATTTGAGACAGATTCTCTCTCAGTTGCCCAGGCTGGAGTGCAGTGGCATGATCTTGACTCACTGCAAACTCTGCCTCCCGGGGTCAGGCAATTCTCCTGCTTCAGCTCCCCAAGAGGCTGGGACTACCGCACATACCACCATGCCCAGCTATATTTTGTTTTTTCTCTAGATATGGGATTTCATCATGTTGGCAAGGCTGGTCTTGAACTCCTGACCTCAAGTGATCTGCTGGCCGCAGCCTCCCAAAGCACTGGGATTACAGGTGAGAGCCACTGTGCCTGGCCTTTGACTGCTGTTTCTAACCACTGTTAGCTCACCTAGCCTGCAGGGCCAATAGGAGACACCCTTATGCGTGCACTTCCCTCCATCTTCACCCTTCATCTCGCTAACACCTTGGCCCAATTATTTCTCACCTGGATAATGCTGTAGTTTCTAATTTTGTCTTCTTGCCTCTACTCTTGTCGCCTTATAATATATTCTCTATCAAATAGCCAGAATGATCTTTTTTGTCTTGTTTTTTTAGAGAAAGTGTATCTCCCAGGCTGAAATGCAGTGGTGCAATTACAGCTCACTAGAGCCTCAGCCTCCTGGGATCAAGCCATCCTCCCACCTCAGTCTTCAGAGTAGTTGAGACCACAGGTGCGTACCACCATATCTGGCTAATTTTTATATTTTTTGTAGAAACGAAGTGCCATTATGTGGCCTAGGCTGGTCTCGAATTCCTGGCCTCAAGCATTCTGCCCACCTCAGCCTCCAAGAGTGCTGGGATTACAGGTGTGAGCCACTGTGTCTGCCCAGAATGATCTTTACAAATATAAACTAGATAATGGCCTGCATCTTCTTCAAATCCTCAGGGCCATCCTGCCACATCTTTAATAGGGTTAGGACCCCTTCACATGTCCCTGCTGTTCTCCCTGGCCACACACCCTGTTTTAGCACTGATGTCCTTCCTTAAATTCCCCCAGCACAGGGCTTTTCTGGCCTTGGAAGCTTTGAATGTGCTTTCTCTCCTGCCCAGAGAGCTTATTTTTCAACGTGGACCTGGTGAGCACTCTCTCTTTCCCATCTTGGCATAAATGTCACCTCTCACGAAGGGCTTCCCCAGGCACACATTTAGATTAGGCCTTTCTCTCTCTCATGGGCTATCTCCTCACCTTATTAGCCCCCACTCCTTGGACTATCTCCTAATCTTACTGGCCCCTATCTTATGGACTATCTCATAACTTATTGACCCCTACTTCATGAGCAATCTTATAACCTATTTAGCATCTATCTCATGGGCAATCTCATAACCTTATTTTTTTATTCATAGTTTAAAAAAGTCTTCGGGATACTGACCCTGTGCAGGCACTGTGTGTTCATCAGGTGGATATTGGTTTGAAAGACAGATAAGGTTCCTGCCCACTGGCTGCTGACAGTCTAGCTTGACAGACAGATGGGAAGAATAAATGCACAAGACCTTACTATGTTATGTGAAGAAAATACATGGGGTAAATAGTGTCAGCGGTTGGGGGAGGAAAGGAAGGGTGGGAATCCACAGTTGGTTGGGGTGGGTCCCTGCAGAGGAGCACAGAATGCATGTGTGAGGACAGGCAGCCTTCCTGAGGGAGGCAGAGAGCAGTGAGTGAAAGGGCCCTGGGCTGTGATCCACAGGCAGCTGAAGCCGTGGTCATCTCCCCGTGAAGGCAGTGCAGGTGTGCAGTGGAGGTGGGCAGCGTGCAGCCACAGTCTGGAGAAGCCTTCAGTGTCTGTGTTCTACACTGAGAGCTTCATGGATCGCACACCTACTTTACCCACCATGGTGCACCAGCTCCTAGCAAGCTCCTCCCCCGAGTAGGTGTTGAATAGATGTTTATGAACACTGAATGAATATTATCTTTATGAATGAGATTAGCTCAATCTGTGTCCCCTTTCTGTGTTTACATTAACCATGTTCTGACTGAGCCCTTTTGTTTTCCAGCCTGCCAAAGACAGACACCAGCTCAGCTCTGGCTGAATGATGGCAGATTTCGATTTGGAATTGTCTGCATTTCACCCATGAGTCACTGATGTGCCTCCACTTCTCCCAGGGGATTGCTGGCTTTACAACAACATACACCAAGTCTTCAGAATCTTCTAGAAGCTCAATAACAATTCCTACCCAAAGCCTGAATGCTATTCCTGAGTCAACAGCTGTGTTTGTCTTTTCTCCCCAGTTGTCCTGGCTGCCGGGGGCCATGGTAAGGGAAGCTTTACACAGTTCCACTTATGTGTAGCTGATGAGGAGGCTGTTGGGTTTATGCAAGGGGGTGTCTAGACAGATCCATCTTTTCTGCATTTGATGTGGAATCTTTGTTAAGGCACAGGGGACCCTGGTGAAGGTTGAATCTAAAACAGCTTCGGCAGACTCGACCCTTGCCAGGGAAGTCTGTGTCGTAATGAGATCTTCATGTTGACCGAATCTTTTTTAACCCTGGGCCAACCTGGTTTTTTTCCACATGAAATTAATTTATTGGCTCTTCTGCTTAGACGTCATTTGGCTCCCACTGCTGCTTGCACGGCCTGGCCTCTTTTGGAAAAGGCTTATTATTTTTAAGAATCAGTCACTTGTGATTCTTCTGCGTCATTTAACTTGATGGAGTCTCTTGGCTTCTTTGGGGGCGAATGACAGCCTTGGAGCACGTGTGCCCTTGTGTACCTGTGTGCACACACATCTGCTGAACAAGGCTGCACAGGTGTGAATTGCAACTGGAGACAGACTGGGAGGCTATGGTGGGCCGGTGGCATAATATTGATACGTGGGTGAAGAAAAAAATACAATGGCTGGGCGCAGTGGCTCAAGCTTGTAATCCCAGCACTTTGGGAGGCCACCCAAGGTCAGGAGTTCAAGACCAGCCTGGCCAATGTGGTGAAACTCTATCTCTACTAAAAATTCAAAAAATAGTCAGGCGTGGTAGTGGGTTCCTATAATCCCAGCTACTCAAGAGGCTGAAGCAGGAGAATTGCTTGAAACCGGGAGGCAGAGGTTGCAGTATGCTGAGGTGGAGCCATTGCACTCTAGCCTGGGCAACAGAGCAAGACCCCAATCTCAAAAAAAAAAAATTAGAAAAATATACCTTGCGCTGTCTCTGCAGTCATAGTTACTTGGACCCAAGCAGTAGCTCAGCCTGTAGTTCAGAGGCTGTGTTGGTGTTGGAATGCCTGGATTTGAATCCTACATCCCCTCCGTGTAATCCTGGACATAAAACACAATCTCTGGGCGTGTAACACAACTCTCTGTGCCTCTATTTTCTCACTTGCAGAATGAGGGTAATGAAGTCCCTTATGGACGTGGGGGTGGATTAGATGTGTCGTTATATATCAAGGGCTTGCAAAGAGCACATGGTAGACACGCCATTCGTGTCAGCCGATGGGGTCACCGTGACCTCTCCATGATGTTTTCCTTTCTGATGGATTATTCACAGCATTTGGTTAAAAAGGCCTTCCCCACGCCTCTCGTACCCGTTGATCTAAGTAGGCTAGATGTTGGATATTTATTTATGTTCCATCTGGCTTCCAAATGAGTCACCACAGGATTCTTGGGGGCTGTGCCGACCAGACCCTTGCAGTTTCCCGTCAGCATGTGTGGTCTGTCCTCTTACACGACTGCCCACCAGCCTCTCCCTATTTCAGAATCAGCCTTGTGTGTGCATGCATGTACTCCTGCCTCCCCCATGTCCACAGCCCTGGATTCTACCCACTCCTCAGGACCTGATTTAAACCCTGCCTCCTCCATGAAAGCCCCAAGCTCCAGCTGGGATTTACTCTGCTCCCACTTTGCTCTGGAGTTATCCCTGGAAGGCAGAACTTGGTGGGGGTCTCAGTCTTCCTAGATTCTCCTAGGCTGCCAGCAGGGGCTTCTCCCAGAGGCTTGGTCCGTGTCTATTAGATGCAACTGTCAGGGTCACCTTGTCATGTTTGCTGAATTTGAGGCCACATTCATTTTGAAAAGAAGTTTCTTGCCACCAGTTTTTAAAAATGCCCTTTTAATACTTTTATTCACTTTAAAAATTCAATGTGGTAAGGGTCTCTCTGTTTGGTATACTGTTCTGTGAACTTGGAAGCAAAGGGTCCCATAATCACCAGCACAATTAAGACACTGAACAGGGCTGGGGGCAGCGGCTCACATCTGTAATCCCAAACTTTGGGAGGCCGAGGTGGGCAGATCACCTGAGATCAGGAGTTTGAGATCAGCCTGGCCAACATGGTAAACCCTGTCTCTACTAAAAATACAAAAAATTAGCCAGGTGTGGTGGTGGGTGCCTGTAATCCCAGCTACTCTGGAGGCTGAGGCAGGAGAATTCCTTGAACCTAGGAGGTGCAGGCTGCGGTGAATCGAGATTGTGCCATTGCACTCCAGCCTGGGCAACAAGAGCGAAATTCCATCTCAAAAAAAAAAAAAAAAAAAGATACTGAACAGACTTATCAACCACCAAATTCTCTTACTATGCCTTTGTAATCAGCCTTCCCCACGTCCCTAACTGCTGATGCTTCCTCCCTCCCTCTTTCTCCCTCCCTCCCTCTTTCTCCCACCCTCCCTTTTTTTCCCTTTCTCCCTTCTTCTCTTCCCTTCTCCCCCTTTCCTTTCATTTTTTCTTTCCTTTCTTCCTTCCTTCACTCCATCCCTCCTTTCTATTTTTTCCTTTCTTTCTTTCTTTCTTTCTTTCTTTCTTTCTTTCTTTCTTTCTTTCTTTCTTTCATTTTTCTTTCTTTCCTTTGCTCTCTCTTTCTTTTCCTCTCTCCCTCCCCTTCCATCCCCTCCCCTCCCCTCCCTTCCCCCCTCCCCTCCCCCACCTCCCCTTCCCACTCCTCCTCTTCTCTTCTGTCCTTTACTTTCCCTTTTCTTTCAAGCCAGGGTCCTGCTTTGTTGCTCAGGCTGAGTGCAATGGCATGATCATGGCTCACTGTAACCTTGAACTCTTGGGCCCAAGCTGTTCTCCTGACTCAGCCTCCAGAGAAGCCAGAACTACAGCTGCATGCCACCACGCCCAGCTCATTTTAAAAAATTTTTTGTAGAGATGAAGTCTTGTTTTGTTGCCCAGGCTACTCTCTAACTCCTAGCCTAAAACAATCCTCCTGCCTCAGCCTCCCAAAGTGCTGGGATCACATGCATGAGCCACCATGCCTGGCCTTGAGGCGCCTTCTAATCTTACAGTTTTAGCCTTTCTGAGGATGCCACAGAAACGAAATCATACAGTATGTATTCTTTTGTGTCTGACTCTTTCACTTGGCATGACACATTTCAGATTCATGCATGGTGTCATGTATATCAGTAGCTTTTTTTCAATGGCTGAGTAGTAGTCCAGTATATGAATGCTTTGTAGTTTATTTGTTCACTAGTTGAATGACATTTCGGTTGTTTGCCCTTTTTTGGTGATTATGAATAAATGTACTAGAAACATTTGCATTCAGGTTTTTGTGGGAACATTCGTTTTCATTTCCGTGGGCTATCATTTTTTTTAAAAATTTTTTTGAGACATGGTCTCACTCTGTCTCCCAGGTCGGAGTACAGTGGCCCAATCTCAGCTCCCTGCCACTTTGCCCTTTCTGGCTCAATCCTCTCATTTCAGCCTCCTGAGTAGCTGGGACTACAAGGCTGTGCCACCACGCCCTGCTGGGGGTTATAATTTGTAAGAAACTGCCAAACTGTTGCCCCAAATGTTGTACGATTTTGAACCAACAATGTATGAGATTTCCAGTGGCTTCCCATCGTCATCCGCACCTGGTATTGTCACTTAAACAATTATTTTTAGCTAATCTAATAGCTGTGTAGCGGCATCTCATCGTGGTTTTAATTCGCATTTTCCTAATGACTAATGACGTTGAACACCTTTTAATGTGCTTGTTTGCTATTTATCTATCTTCTTTGGTTAAGTGTCTTTAAAAAGTTTTGCCTGTTTTTATTGGGTTGTTTGTTTTCTTATTATTGAGTTTTGGGAGTTCTTCATGGAGTCTGGATTCCAGTCCTTTGTCAAACATGTGCTCTGCAAATACTTCCTTCTCATTTGTGGCTTGTCTTTTCATTCTTTCAACAGTGTCTTAGCAGAGCAGAAGTTTTTAATTTTGATGGAGCCCAATTTATCATTCCTTTTTTTTATGGATTGCGCATTTGGTGTCATTTCACCAGCTTTTAATTTTATTTTAATTCTCCTCAGCCTGTGAACAGCACTAGGGTGTGGTTTCCAGGCAGTTGCTGCGTGGAACCCGCTCTTCCTCACTTCCTGCCCAGCCCCTCCAAAGCCCCCTCCTGGCTATTTCGGTCACCAGCTGGGACCTCTGCACGGAGGGACACTGGACCATGGATGTCACCCCTCTGAAGCCCTGGTGAAAGGGGTCATGAAGGAGGACAGCCACAGAGACTGCTTCCCACCCACACTGTGCTCTGCTTGCCTGCCCTCACCCTCACTTTCTCAAGATAACGTGTTTTCATTCCAGAAACACTGTTGCTTTCATGGCCTCTTGGCTGGGGCTGATGCCAAGGCCAGCTTGGCCATGGAGACCCCAACACAGGGGGCACCGAAGGAATTAAGAAACAGACACAGAGATAGAGTGTAAAATGTGGACTCAGAGTGGGGCATCAGGGGACTCACAGCATTCCCAGCTGGAAGCCCAGAGCAGTCTCTGACCCATGTATTTATTCTTTACGTTCTAGTGACAAGTTTAACAAGCAGATGCTCTGTGCTCTTTCATAGGTTAAAGATAAACTCACCAGGCAGCTAGTGTATGTTCACTATAGGTTAAAGATGAACTAGAAAACACTCTTTATAAGGGAACAGAGGAAAGAGTCGCATATCCTGTGTTCAAAGAACTAGTTCATCTGGTGTGAGAGATATTCATATTGGTTACTGTTTTATAATGCTTTGAGCAGTTTTCTGCTTTCGGGGGGAAGTTTTCCGCTTTGGGGGGCCAACTATGTTTTCCTTGCTGCCACCCTCATCAAATGATATGATATATCACACACGTCAGGATCTTCAGAATTTGCTTTCAACAGGGTGATACAGTTCACACCACGGGCTTCTCTGACTATGAAGATCTAGAAACAAGGCCGAGGCACTGCCTTTTGCCGTCCATAAGGGCTTTGGACTTAATGCAGAAAGTCCATGAATCTGCAAGATCTTTCTTCTCCTGAATCCCAGGACACTGAATGACCCCCTTGCTCATCTTTGCATTGCTTGGCTAAGAAGGTGGG